TATATATATATATATATATATATATATATATATATATATATATATCCAAAATGCTATTAGAAATGTGATGGTAAATTAAGTATTGGATTAGTTTTTTTCGTTTAAAAACACTAGTACAAAATATACATTCTACGTCGGGTATTTTAGGGGTTTTACGTCGGAAAAACGTCCGACGTGGAAGCGGGGGACGTAAATTTACGTCAGATGTAAAAAACCGATGTAAATTTACGTCGGACATAACAAATCCGACGTAAAAAGTTGTAAAAAAATTATTAAAAAAATGACTGCAAGCAGAACGGGTCGTTCTGGTTGGAGAACGGCCCGTTGTCCAAGCATAACGGCCCATTCTGCGTGGAGAACGGTGTTTTGTGACGACCTTTCACACTACAATATGCCTCACAGATCTCAAGAAATACAATAAGAAGGAGAGAGAAAAAAGAGATGCGACACAAATCTCAAGAAATACAATAGAAAGGAGAGAGATAGAGAATTTTCGTGCTCAAAAGAGTCTTATTCGAAATTTCTCTGGCCGCCCGGTGAACTGTGCCCGAGGCTTCAATTTATAGGAATCAGAAGGGGGCCAGAACGGCCTATTCCGGATTCAGAACGGCCTGTTCTGGCCCAATAGGCATGTGTAAATTTTGCACCCTGGAACGAGCCGTTCTGAAAACGGAACGGCCCGTTCCAGAGTCGAAATTGACACAGATTTGTCCTTTCCAGAACGGCCCGTTCCAAATTTGACTTATTTGGAACGACCCGTTCTGGTATTGGAACGGCTCGTTCCACCCAAAAATCTTTAAGTGGTTTAGTTACGTTGGAACGGCCCGTGCTGATATTGGAACAGCCCGTTCTGATTTTGGAACGGCCCGTTCCGATTTTGGAACGCCCCGTTCTGATTTTGGAACAGCCTGTTCCGGGCTACTAAAACCACCTTATTTGGCCTTTAGGCCTTCTGATGTCCTGTTTTGTTGTTTGCCTGCTTCAGAAGCTCCTTCCTTTCATAACGGAGGTCTATTTCTTTGTTTGTGTGCCCTCCGGACGAAATTGGGTGTCTACAAGTACAAGAACAAATTAATGTAGACCAAGTTATAACACTATCAGCAAGAAAGGTTATATCACCTGTTTTGCTTCCTCACCCATTTGCCGTATGAATGGAGACTGAAATGTCGGAAAAATTATAAAGAAGGAAGGAGTAGGAGGTGGAGGGATTTCAACGCGCGGGAGAAGAAGTTTTTGAAATCTCCAAATCTCCAGCTAGTGACCTGCTTTTAAGGGGCGCGCGGTCATGTGCATTATTTACATCGGACAAGAGGGGGTCCGACGTAAATTATGCAATCTACGTCGGAGAGTAATTGTGTCCGACGTAGATTGTATAATTTACGTCGGACCCCCCCTTGTCCGACGTAAATTAGTTAGCTTTTATTTACGACAATGCCACCGTATTTATAACGTCGTATTTTGGGAGTTCTGACGTAAATGGAGTGACGTAAAATCCTATTTTTGTACTAGTGAAAGTTTGGGAATTAAATTTGAGTAATTGTAATACCATACTTTTTTGTGTTTGCTAAAATTAAGTCAAATAGTTTTAAGAAGAATGAATATTTTTGTGGAAATCTAAAATTATTTCTGTTAAATTTCTTTGCTAGTATTAGGAATGAAAATAAGTCAAACTTTAAATATATAAATTGGATCTATTCTACAAAATTAAAATTTAAGTTTGACCTATTATTTTTATATGCTTAATTTGACCTATTAGTCTATTTAAAAATTTATTTAAATTAATAATGTTAATTAGGTCAATAAACTTATATTTTAAAATAATAAGTTTTTTTTTAAATATAGTTTACTCAATATTAGTATAACTTAATTTTTAAAAGAAGTATGGAAGAAAATTTGAATCATTTTTTTATTAAAGCGACAATTCATCTCTAATCATTATGTTGATGTACACTCATGCACAAGTATAAATCTATAATAAAAAAATAATTGTATAATTTTTTAAATATTGATAATTTATTTTTATTTTATAAATTTATTTATTTATATTTTTAATAATATATATATATATATATATATTACTTTTAATATATAAATAAATAGGTTGTGTAAGACCCGCAAGCTCTTCTTCTTCCTTCTTCCCCTCAACACTCTCATTTTCTCCTCACTTCCTTTTCCTTGTTCCAAATTTCTGAACTTCCTCGTGGTGCTTTTGTTGCTGAAGGTTAAGAGTAGAGGTGAGGATTTCTAGTCAGAAGCGCGGACCTTCTCCTTCTTCTTCTACCGCTCCCCGAAGTTCGGATTCTACTTCTCTAAGGTAAGGGAAGTTAGATCGTAAACTTATTTGCTGTATGGGAGTTTAAGAACTCATTTGAAGTAAGAATGTTGAGAATCATTGATTGATTTGAAGAATTTCTCATTTTCGGGGTTTCGGGAAATTTGGGAAAAAAGGTGATGTTGATGCATTGGATGGTTGCATGTTGAAATAAAGCTTGTTTTTGAGTCATATGATATAAATGTATTTAATTTCATGGATTGTATGTGTTTGAGTTGGCTGATTTTCAGGTTTTTGGTTGAAATTGTCAAAGTTGTGAGGTTGCTGTTTGAATTCGCCTCGGGCGTAGTTCTTGGCACCGGGCGTGTGTTCATCAAGGAACTCCATTATCCAATCACGCCGGGCGCGAGGTTGGTTGCGCCGAGCGAGATTAGGAATGAAAGTCTTTGGATGAATCACGCTAGGCGTGAGGAGAACCATGCTGGGCGTGATATCAGATAGTGGCAAAAAAATTTTTTTTATAGTTATTGATATTGCGTCGGGCACAATTTGAGAGAGTCGGGCGTAGAGACTCCTTGGGGGTCTCTGCCTGGGGTGGCGCTGTTAAACGTTTTCTTCAAATATGGCAAGTGAACCAATCGCACAAGTAGTAAATAGAGGTAATAGTCATTCTTCCCAAAGGACTTGAGTAATACAATGGCAATATGTGGAATTTAAGCTAATACAGACTAAAGAATGATTTCATATTTGGTGGATTGTAATTTTTAAGCTAAAAAAAACAAAATGAACTAAAGTGAACTTTCATCAAACACTTGAAATGCGGTTTTGGAGATTGACTTATATGAATGAAATGTTAGGGTTAGACTTCACCAACTTTAATCTCATGCATAAGAAACCTTCTTTCTCATTCAAACATTAATGCTAGCCCACTAATTTTCTCAAATCCCAATTCCTTGGTTAAAAGAGCCTAAGTTTCATTACCAAGTATCAATCCCTTGAATACTTCAATAAATCCACTTGCATTAAATTTAAGGGCTCAGAACAACAAGTAATTCATGTTCCATTCCTAGACACAAGTTTACTAGGTACCACATTCCCAAACAAGATTACCAATGATATTTTTCCACACCAAAAGTAATCACCAATCATGTAATCGTGGATCATTCTATACAAGCATTAAGCACAGAAACATGATACTAACATTTGAATGAAGAAGATAGATAGATATATTCAAACAAGTTACATGAGAGTCAAGTTGGCTACATCTAACCCCAACAAAGGGTTTTAGCATCTCATGTCCATGAGATTAGCAAGATACATCAAATGAGTGAGAATGGAAGAAAACCAATGAGAAACAATGGTGAAGAGGTGAGCCCTAGCTTCTCCCTTTCAGACCTGCACTCCTGCACCCATTTTGGTTTTGCTTCACCCTCTCCCCCTTTCGCGCTCAGCCAAGAATTATATTAATCTACGCAACTCTTTAAGTGACGCGCTTAGCGCGATATGATACGTGCTTGGCACGAGACGGAAGGCGCGCCGGGCGTGTGATTACACATGCCCAGCGTGAGACCACATCTCAATCAACTCAGCTCGATCTAGTGCGCTGAGTGAGCTGAGATATGGGCTCAGCGCGGGTCTATTGAAAATGCCAACTTGCT